TTGCACCGAGATACAGCCTTAAAGGCCAAGTGAGAAATCCTATGGTTCACAAAGGCGTCGTCTTTTCTATTATGCTATAGGTTTTTTTTAAAAAAACTATCCAGTAGTTTCCACATCTTACAGAACTCCTCTCACCAACACGTACACTGCTGTCTCTTCACATCCCTTCTCTCTTTCTTCTCACTCTCCAATCTGCACCACGTACCGTCACCATCACTCTTCAGTCACAGGAGTATCTCTCTCTCTTTCTCTCCCCCCCCCCGCTCATTTCCTGCCTTTTTAAGCTCCACCTCGGCAGCTTGGCCGCCGCCATGTCGATATAGACCAGCTCCGTACCACCGGCACACCTCCAGATCTGTTACCTTTCCCGACTAATTTCTAGTTCTCTCCATTAATGTTTCTAACACAAAAACAAAGGTATTCCTGTTGGTCTTTTTAAAAAAATTCAAAGTCTACAGGTGGGCAATACCTCTCCCCAATTTTCACAACACTTACAGACTTGCCGATTTGCTGGAAATTTACAGTGCTGGAGAACTCGAAAGTTTGCTATACTCTTAGAGAACTACTGTAACTGGACTGAGCCTTCATGAAGATATTGCCTGCCGACGGAATTTGGATTTCTAAACATCATTAATGTATTTTAGGCTTTTGTGGATTTTTTACATTTCCCTGTAAATCGTCCGTGGGGGGGGGAGGGGTTATTTCTATGCTGTCTTCCTGTTTGGAAGTATAAAAGCAGAAAAGTCGAAGTTTTCCAGAATTACAGGCTGCCTTTAAACTAAAACATCTGAAACACACTGAAGACAGTGGGAGTATGTCCTAAATGTGCACAAGAATGCACCACCAGTTGACGCATTAGAGCATATTTGTTTCCATTTAAAATATTCACAATTACTAGAACTTTGATTCGGGATGAAATGCAACAGATTGACAGACACATGTCCCAATCCGATTTGGCTCATTTAGCGTGCTCTCTGGGAAGAACTGCTTTTCTCCTCCTCCATGAGAAAACGAACGGATCCCAGGACCTTTAGCTCATTCCACGATTTGTCTGTTTTGTCTCAACAGATGAGTTGCAAAAACTCCTTTTGGAGCAGATGGAGCTCAGGAAAAAACTGGAGCGGGAATTCCAAAGTCTCAAAGGTAACCTTGCCTCAATTTTAAAGTCCTTGTCCAGGAAAATATAAATTATTTTTAAGGCAGCCCCAAATACGAAACTAACCCTGATTGATTGAAGAAAACATAAGTTTCTGTGGATAAGTTAATTTGGAAAGAATGGCTTAAGGAGTCTTTCTCAGAGACAGAATGGGGGTGTCTTTCTGGGGGAAGGGGTGGCAACTTCCCGTTTAAGTCAGACTCCCTCTTACTGATCACTGTTCTGGCGCTTTCGGGACGAGAATGTCAGCAATATTTTATGTTTTTGAAAAAACGGCCTTTGGGGGCGGAAAGAATGAATGCTTTCAGCCAATTCAGAATGCTAAATATTACGTTACCGACTTTTCTTGAGATATCGAGACTAATTAATCATCAGATGTATGATTAATTTGCTACTCCTTTGGTTGATTGGAGGGCCTGCCTGGGATCCTGTTGTTGTTGTTGTTGTTCTTGATCGGATCTGCGAAGAGTCCGTGGACACTTGCCTCCCGTTTCTCCAATCAGGTGGTGGAGAAAAAGGTCTCCAGTTTGGAAACTGGGAGCTTAATGGCTTTCTTCACGGGAAGGTTTCTAACCCTGCAATTTCGCACGTACATATCTGCTCAGAAATAAAATTTACTGATTTCACTGAAACAGGCGGCTAGTTAAGGGCGCAGCACACTCCAGCCTGGGCGGAGAACCTGCAGGCCGCCTCGTTGAGCGGGAGAGCCCCCCCCCGTGGGAAGTCGCTTTTCCCGAAATCTCACACGCAGCCGGCCAGATAGTCACACACAAACGCCCATGAAATGCTTCCTTGAGTAGATTTTCTGGCATTGTTGGGTGAGAACGATGGGGTTTAGTAACCTTTCTGGCCCACCTTTCCTCTTCTGGCTTAAGAGCGCAGTCCTTGTTTTTTCCCGCCACAACCGTGTGGGCTGACTGAGGTTTCCAGCAAAAAAGTGAACACTGACTTCTGTCGAATAATTCTTCGCGTTTCACGACAGCCAAATCTACCTCGCATTCAGCTTATCACCCCCGTTAGGATCTGCTAATTTGATAGGCTAATTCCTGTGCTTAAAGAACCATTATCTCTTTTTCTATCCCTTGCATCCCGTATATTTCTCATCATGGAGAAAAATACAGGGAACACATACTGTATTTGCATCCCTATGTCTGAAGAACTTGAGTTTATTCTCAGAAAGCTCACAATGACAATAAATGTTAGTCTTGCTGCAGTATTTTGCCTTTTTTTCTTTTCTCCCCCCCCCCGTTACGTTTTTCAACATACTTAAAAGTTTGTTGTCTTTCTGATGAAAACGTCAGTCTTAAAGAGACAACCCAACGAGAGAGGTAAAGCAGAAGGCAAGGTCTCAGGCTTGTCAGCCTGCTTTATCCAGGGTTCGTAGTTCAAACCAGTGGGGTTAAAATGCAGCTAGGTGGTGTTTCCATCCATTCCTATTTCCCCCCCCCCCCAAAATCCTGNTGGGTTGAGCAACCGAGGAAGCGCCTTTCCGGATTCCACTGCGAACTTTCATATCAAGGCAGTCAAAGGCTGCATCTGTGCCTGGGGGTGGGGCGCGGCGCACGCGACTTGTTTGCTCCTGCGGCCCCCCCGTTTCTTTTCCTATGGGTACAGGGGAGGCACCAAAATCCCCAGTCTGGGGGGGGCGCGACGGTGGGAGACTGGTCTGGATGTAGGTCTTCGCAGCTCGCCGGAGCTCCTTCCTTCCTTCCTGTCTCACGTCGGGACACTTCCGACGGCTCCTTCCAAAGAGGCTTGCTCTCCTCCCCCTTTCCCTTCCAGGGAGGGTCTTCCCAAGCCTTGTTCCGATTTCTTTGAAGCGAAGAGGCAGAGGGAAGAGGGGAATCAAAGGAAAAGGCGCCCCATGTAGACAGAGAGAGGATGGGAGCTGACGGGGCGAGGATGGGCCCCGGTGGGTCGGGCTTCACGTACACACCTCGGACGTTGGTTCTTCCCTCGGCTTCCGAAAGGGCAGCTGCGTCGGAGGCTCTCAGCGCCCCCCCCCGGGTCCTTCTGCAGTGGCAGGGATCCTGGACGGTGGCCCTTCAGCTCTGCCTCCTCTCCTCTCTTCTCTGCAGATAACTTCCAAGACCAGATGAAGAGGGAGCTGGCCTACCGCGAGGAAATGGTGCAGCAGCTGCAGATCGTGCGCGGTAAGAGAGAGAGAGAGAGAGAGAGTCGCGGGGCCGGAGGAAACCACCAAGGGCGCCGCGGTCCACCAGCAGCGATCCCGCCGAGGAGCGGCCCCCCGCCCCGCTCCCTTGCTTACACTCAAGCGCAGAAGTAAAATTGCGCAGAACACAGGACACCCCCTCCCATCCCAAACCGAAGCGCAGGTTTCCTTTCCTAGGGAAGTCTCATTTCCTTTAATCGGCTCCGATCCTCCTCCCCCCCCACCGGCCGCCCCAAGAGCGATCCCGCCCGCCGGGCTGCCCTCCGCGCCCTCCTCATCCTTTCCGAGGTGGCGTCCGACAGCCGGCCATCGCCGAGGTGGGCTGGGCTGGGCTGGGCTGGGCTGGGGTGGATCCTCTTTCCCAGCTCGCTCTCCCCGTGACTTGCCAGGGTGGATGGGAACCCTAACCCTTCCCAGCGCACGGATTCTCGGAGGTGGCCCCCGAAAGGCCCCCCGAGCGCCTCTCCGGCCCAGCGCCTGACTCCTGCGGTGGAGAGGCTGCCCAACGGGGCCCTTC